AACCCTCAAGAAGAGTCTGGGGCACTGAGGAATGAGGCTGGATGGGTTTTTAAGTTCACATCTTCTGAGACCCCTACTCAGGACACAGAAAGTACTAGAGAGTTGCACAGGATAAAGCAAGCTTTAGGATCTAATTAAAATGGCAAATTTATTTTTACTTCATTGGCCTTCACAAAAGTTGCAAATGAGTTAGCATTCTATACATGCATTTACTCTATCTTATTCTAGATTATTCTACGGGTGCCTTCAGGGGACTGCCAGTGCTAAGATGGTCTGCTTCTTCAGATGTTGGCATATTGGATCTCTCAAAGTCAGCACATCGGTACTCCAGCCCACAGGATGTAAGGGAAATGGTATGCACTTCTGCTTGGCGATACAAACTGTTCTGTGACCTAGCAGAGCACGTATCTGTGGGCAAAAGAAATCTTACGTAGATTGGCATTAACCAGCAAGGCTCCATGATGTGCAACAAAGCATCGGAGATCTCTTTCAGTCCTCTTGCGTAGCATGTAATAGCACATTTGAAACAATCTTAGTGTCTGGCCTTCATTTCTCTTTCTTTAATTTACCCCTTCTTGATGAAAAGAGAAGCCTGGGTGCCAAAGGTTGTACATTACTCTCCTCTAAAACAATACTGCAAACTCATCAAAAATGCCACGCAGACTCCTTGCACCGTCATCAAGGAAGACACTGACTGGACACTGACAGGATTCTTCATCTATAAGAAAATTATTTTAAAAAAGATCACATTTTATTACAGAATTCTCTAGAAGCACAGCTTTTACAACACGTGATGCTCTAGAAAGGCTGATACACTAGCAAGACATGTTCACAAAGATTCTGTTGATGCTGATATTCAAAAGGGGAAACTACTTACGTTTTGGTGATCTTTAAGCAACCCCGAACTTCTTCCACACAGCCCAGCACCAGAGTTGAGACATGCCAATAGGTTCTTTGGCTTTTCTACTTCACAGAAAGCAAGCCAGTACCAAGGCAGTCTCTACGTTCTGGGGCAATGACACTTGTGTTACACCATTTTGCACAGACTTTGGATATTCCTAGCATTCCTTCTGAAGAAGAAAGTTAACAAATTTGAAATGTATTCCGTGTTAAAGCCCTCAGGTCAGTGGTCTGTGCTGCTGCAGAATAAGGTGTTAACATTTGCACCAGTTTATACTTGCCTTATATGTCCATATTTTTTCCTCATAATATCTGTATTTTTACTTAGGGGAAAAAAAAAAAAAAAAATTGGTTCTAGTGAAAGCTTATGAAGGCTCAGAAAGAGTAACTTTCATTGTTCAGAGCCAGGACCCACTAACAAGTTCAGGGGACAAAATCCACCTGTTTTGGTGTCAATTCATCCACAGGTACCAAATCAGTTTTCAAAGCACAGTTGGAAGAAAACAGAGGAAGTATTGAGATGCTACTGAATAGGGTTGATGCAACAGGAGTTGCTGTGTGGAACACCACCATCAAAAGCTGAAAGGGAAAACTACGGTGAAAAAGGGACACATGCAGCCACAGACAAGTAGCAGACTGGAGAAGAAGGTGGGTTGAGTGCTGAACACAAGGCAGAGTGGAGAATCCTAACTGCAGGCTGCTATCAGAGCTGGCCTGCAACAGGCTTAATGTTGCCTAAGTTCAATAAAGTCATCAGTAGCTGTTCTGCTTTGAAGAAAACCAAGGGTTAACCCCAACTGCTCTGCTGGTCCAGCTAATCTGTTATCTTGCATCATACCCAATGTAATCTTACAATGAAAATTAGCTAAGTTAAAGCTCTTACAGATAATACAAAGCTAAATCCAGCAATTCAGTTGTACTACTTTAAACCATGATCAATAATTTTGATAAATAGATCAACATATTGCCTTTGATGTCTTAGATAAAGGAATATCATAGGAATCAGCATGTGAAATACACACTTGCATCCAGTTGCAAGCCAAAATCATTTCTTATTCTAAAAAAGTCATCAGTGGCATAAAGCTGCTCACCACTTTGACTGGGATGGAAACTCAAAATAAAAGGCTGAGAACAGGGAGTCAGAACTGCCATTATAAGAATAGTCAAATGCTGCTGAAATAGCATGGTGATAAGGAGAGTTGAGAAAAGGACAAATGAATGAAGAGGGATATCACAGTGAAGTACTTTTTCTGAAGAAAATGACAAAAATGTTTAAGGCATACTTAAAACTCATCTCTTTATGACAAATTGCATTAACACATCTGATGAGATTATTCAGATTGAAAATGTTATGTCTACAGTGCTGCACATAAATCATTAAAAATAGTTCGCTGGTTCTGCTTTCAAGAGCCCAGTCTGGCGAAAAGCAGGCTTTTTTTCCAAGCTCCTTCAGGTAGTCCAGCGAAAATAATCTGGGAACAAAGCAAAACCAACAAAATTACACATTACTTCTCCCTACAAATTTTACGAGTTCTGAAAACAAATCTCGTACATATGATTCCAAACGTGTTGAAATAGATCTTCTACGGCTGTGAAAAAGAACATGAGCAAGCTCAGTAAAATGAAGGGACTGGAGCACCAGTACCCTCATTTGTGTATGCTGTATCTATAAGAAGTAGGAAGGACATACCAGTAGAAGGTAGCAGGTCTGGAGTACACAAACAGAGACACAATTTTTGATTAAATTTTTAATTAAATTGTAGGTCCTGTTACAACAGGATGTTATGGAAGACAACTGGGATCTACAGGATATTTAGATGAACTCACAGGGAACAAACAGGTCTTTCACAGTCTATTAAACACAACTGCTAAGAATGCAGCTGGGTCAGGAAGTATCTGAACAGCTGACTGCAGAAAGCTGGCATGATGTGCTTGAGAAGGGATCACTTTTATACAGGACTTGTTCTTTGTTTCAGCTGGAGTCAGGGCAGTACTCTTTACAAATCTTTGCTCTCGTTCAGGAAGAAAATTATTTTTTCCTTGTTCCTTCTGACAGTGCAAAGTGTACTGGCTTACATACCTTTGTACTTCCTGCTGGCTCAAGAAATAAATCACTAAGATCTCCTAAATCAGGTGGTTATTTTTAACACAATTACAAGCTCAGAGATTTATTACACATTTACTACATTTGAAGTCCGAGGGATTTGGGTGCTGCCTCAGATCTGTTAAAGAAATTGGGAATAAGAAGCTCTTGAGAATTACATCATCAGAAGCTAACCATTCTATGTTGAAAATGATCTTATATCTTAGAAAGATGCTTACAGAAAGGCTTAGGTGTACATCCCTTCCCACTCACTCTGTGTTCTCAGCCCTATCTAGCCAAAACACTGGAGTCTAGAAACTTCTATAATATTTCACCTTTCACAAAACCTTAGTACAACTTAGGCTGGAAGGGACTTTAAGGCCCCTCCACCCACGTCCAAGGCACTGCCCTAGGCTGGGTTGCCACCCAATAAATCAACATCTAATGTGACTTCAGCTTAAAGAACTGTCAACTTTCACAGCTTCTCTACGTTGTTCTAATCTTCCTTCACCTTCGCACTCCTCTGATAACCTTAATAAGCTTTACTGCACATTTGAGAGCAAAAAGGATGCTGATCTCATGCTGCCTGTGGGCGCCTGAAGTGCTCTGCAGTACTCCACACCACATCTACGTGTTAGTGGTCTTTGCAGAGTACGTGACAAAGTAAGTTCAAAAGTGTGACGGCAGCCCTCTGCCAAAGGCAAAGCATCTATTTTTCGAGTATTCTCACCAAAATTACATACATTTGTATTAGCTATTCTTTCACGCTATGTGAATAGCTGGAGCAAGTGCAACACAGCAAATGTATTGAGTGAGCATGTCAATGGTTCAGGACAGACCATGATCGCTTCTAAGATTCCTGGACGACTGAGGTCCCCATCCAAGCTTGCTATGTAATCAACGCGACCCACTCACTCCAGGTGGCATCAGTACCACGATGGATGGAGGGAACCTTTCCCTTGAACATCCAGTTTAGCACTGGCTGTCGAGGTGCCAGGAGCAGCTGTGTTTCAGTACCGATTACTTCAGAAGCAGGCCAAATGCCCTCATACATGGCTAGGATCTTTTCAGTTGGAGCTCAGCCCTCTTCTGAACCCCTGTATGTTCCACTCCAGAATCGCAGGGGTCGGCCTCAGATTCTCTCCTGAGGCTCTTTGCCACAGACTCCAAGTGGGACCTTTCTCTCCAGTAGCGGTGTGCAGGATACTCTGTACATCCTGTCCCATCTGCACCGGCCCCAAGGCCATGGCACGGGCTATCTCCTCTTTAATCTGTTCAAAAGCCTGCTGCTGCTCAGGACCCCACATAAAGTCATTCTTCTGCATCACCTGATAAAGGGGACATACAGCAAGGCATCAGCAATGTCAGTGGTGGCATACCACTTGGCTGCTTTTCACTCCAGTTCATACTGGAGTTCTAACATGTCTGGTACAGCACTCAGTGGGAGTGTGACTTCATTCACTTAGCCTACCATCAACCTCCATTCTCCACTGGCTTTATGCACTGGCCATACAGGGCTGTTAAAAGGTGAGTTTTGCTCACTCTAAAGGTTAAAGAAAATCCCTTTTGTAAATTCCCAAACACTACTGTCTTAAACCTAAATTCACTAAAAGTTTTTAATTCAAGCAAAAAAAAAAAAAAAAAAAAAAAAAAAAAAAAAAAAAAAGTCCTCATAACTCAAGGCATTTATTTCTGTAATTTTTGATCTCCTTAAGAGATCATCAGAATCTGATGCTACAAAATTAGACTGAGAAACTTGACATAAAATGTTTTTTCCCCACTTCCCCACCAATTACCACCATTTGTGATCACCAGAAACCTCTGCTTAGTGAATATAGCTTAGCAATATGTGGAGAAAACATTTACAAGGTTTATGCACTCTGATTTCAGAAGAATGCAATTTTTTGTACTCCCTTGTTTTAAACCAATATTTAGAATTGTTTAATGATTAAAATGCTCTTTAGTTTTGCATTAATGGTACTGATTTGTTAAGCATAATAAATATTACAGACTCTCATACAGAAAATATACTCCCATTTTTTTATTTTAAATCATTTCTCCCTTGGGAATGACATAGAACTTCACTGGGGACAACAGTGGGGGGGTTAGGAGAAAGTTCTTCAGCAGAGGTCGACAGGCATGGAACAGGTTCCCCAGGGCAGGGGATACGGCCCAACCTGTCAAGAGTTCAGGGAGTGTGTGCATATTCCTTATGTTCTAAAACACTCCGTCCTAGACAGACATATAAAATGCAGCATCAGAACTTCCAGGATAAATCTTGGAATTCAGTAACTTTGGCAAAAAAAAGTTGTACTATTTTTCTGAGGTTTTATGCAGTCAAAACTCTTAAATATTTTATAGCAAAGCACTTTTCATATATGTTAGCACACACAGACTCTGATTGAAAAGAGTCTGCAAATGAATCCAGGTTTCCTCAAGTTGCGTTGACAGTCCAGATATTTCTTCCAGGAGGCTTGACTCTGATGAAATAATCTTAAGATGTAACTGAAAAGTAAAAATATGCAGCAGTTAGTAAAATTGACACAGACCAGATTCAGAATATCAGCTTCTTCAGTTACATTACTGAAAGCAAAGTATTGGAATTGAATGAAGACAGTTCTTCAATTCATTCATTTATTCAATTTAATCCTCCCACCTCTTTTTTTTTTTTTTTTTTGCTAGTCTTTCAGAAGCCATTTTCCTCCCAAATATTCAGAAGCTTGGATAAGGCAGCAAAACATCCTACTAGATGTACTGATGCTGCTGAATCTATCCTAATCACACACTTCTCTAGAGGGTAACTTTTTCCTCTGTCCAAAAACTGCATCATAAACTTGTGTTCAATTTAGAAACATGAAAGAGATGCTCTGAGATCAATCATGATTATTATTTCAATTATCTGTATTGAATAAAGCAAAAAGAATCATGTCACACACTCCTAAAGATATGGAGGATGTTTTTTTCTTATATAATGTATTTTCTTTATAGACAGTAACCTCGGTAAAGCAAAAAGAAAAGCAGTATTTCAACCATGTATAGAGTCACTGTATTATTAAGTGGTAACACTTATTGGATGGAATAATAATTTTCTCAGCTACAGCATAAATCTAGGAGTTTTGATAAGCTCTGAGCTGTCTTCTCTAGAATCTATAACAAAATATATCGTTGTGCATTTAGAATAGGGGGAATTTGTATTTTGAAGTGTTTCACTCTACAGATTTAGTTATATTAGCTTGTAGCATTTGGTCTTGTTGACATAACCCTATGCATTCCACTTAACACCAGCAGAAGAAAGAGACAAAATAAAATCCTGAAATAATTAAGAAATGTGCTGTTAAATAGACATTACCACATACCTGAATGGTTTAACAACTTTCCCATTAAGTTGTAACTAATTGCTTTCTCACAGCTTCACACAGTAGGTAAGAGGGCACAGCACTATCAGAAAGGTTTTGATTCTCTACAGAACCATTTGAGTAAACACTATTGCATTTTATCATGGTAATCTTGTAACTTCACACCTCTGGGAATAATTTGTCAGATCTGTGAAGCTTAACAGTTGACAGAAGAAAGGCAGACCACTGACACATGAAGTCGGACTTCCAATCTCAAGGGGTAAGTGCAATAATATGCTTACTTTACTTTCCCAAACGCTGTGCACTGAGTTACTTAAAATACAGAAAATCTTAGCTTAAAAATGAACAACCATTAAGAAATTATCTGTGTTACAAAAAACAAAACGCGCAGAACAAATAACCTGTAAAAAAACCCCCCACGTTTGGTAAGTCTTTTTAAAACCATCCCCAAAAGAAACCATTTAAGATAAACAGCTGTAGTAGAGAGTTCACACAGATTTTGTGTCCTTTCACTGGACCATTTTATTCAGGAGTAACATAAACTTTTAGGAGAATACTGTTACCTTTAAAAACAGCGCAAGGTACGCTTGAGCAAGTTCAAAGTTGTACTTCTTGTTCAGCATCATCCCAATCATTCTCAAAAAGCTTAGCATCACCTCCAGGGAACCACCACCCTCAGGGGCCAAACTCCTCAGCTCTATCTCAATACTAGATGGTCCCAAGTCTTTCAGCAAATTAAGTGGAGCTGTATCTATGTTAAAACACAGAGCAATCATCATCATTAACATCTGCAGAAAAGAATCTCAGGAATCCATCCAATGCAATTCAGAACATTTGATATATAATCATAAAGCAAAAGCTCAAATTCCTAACGTTTCCTTACTATTCTTTCTTTCCACAAAATGTCATAATTCCTCTAACTCACCGTATGCCTCTGAAAAATACACCTCTAATAAGGAAACTGCATTTTTTTCTAAGTCCACCTTGACAAATACAATTAATACCTTTCCACAAATTTCCTTTAACTTCTGTGCTTTTGGACAAACTATGTCTCTGATCAACTAGTTAAGACTGACATTTTTTATTTCTTTTCGACAAAGAGAAGGAATTATCTTTTATTCCAAGCCATTATGGCAAATATATCTCAGAAGAAAGAAACCAATTACTATTGTCTCTAGCAATCCTTAGTGTTCATTGCTATTGACATTAAGCAAAGTAAAACATAACCTGGTGCATTTAAGGGAATTATTCCTTGTTAAGTAAATTTCTTCTGCTTTTCTGGGGCGGAGGGGGAAAACTTCTCTGTAATGGAAATATGCAAAATTTACAAGGAACTTTTTTCTCCTCCTTTTTTCATATATGTTCTTCCTCATAATTACTGCAATCAAACCTGTTCTCTGAGCACTGTTTTAGAAATGCAAAAATAAAAGCATATGTGGATGCAAACACAGCTTTTGGTAGCAAAATTTTTAATGCTGTCAGCTGATTAATATTTCAGTTTCTGAAGTTTCTAAGGAAAGCTGTTTCTTATACTCTCATATCATTGTAACTACTAATATCAGGTATTAGCTAGTTGGTTTAAATTCATTTCTGTGCATGATATTTAATTCCTATGGAGATAATTAGCTAAAGGAAAGGTGTGATATTAGCAGTGCTGAAGGGATGCATTAACTCATTTTTGTGCTGTGAGAGACTGAAAAACCAAGCATGGAATACACCGTGAAATCAGTATACACACAATATGGAAAATGTGCCCAGTTAAATCGATATTCTGCAGTCCTGCTCTGCAGTGCAAAACCCTGCCTCTATTCCAATGTTAAATTAGGATGGCTTCTAATGTACCACTACTTATTTGCATGGCCTATTCGTCTTCAGAAGAGGTGCTTGTCAAATACCAAGCACAGAACCATGCTACACACCAGTGGAGTACTGGGAGCGGACCAACAGGCTCCCTGGACTAGGATTACAGCACAGACCCTGCAGCACACTGTTGTTTCAGCAGAGATGATACAGCCTGATGGCAGCCCAGGGGATCACTACTGCAGTGCATCACGGAGTACGCTTGTTTCCTGGTGCAGACAGCCAGAAGAAGCTTAATTTGGTTTTTATATTTTCAACTCATATTTTAGTCTTCTCAAGGCAGTTCTAAAACAGCTTAATAGAATACTCTCAAATGACATACAAAATAAGAGACAGAATAAACCCACAACTTGCTTGTAATAGATGGCCAAAATAAAGTATATACACAACATGTTCTAAGCTCTTCAGAACTGCCTCATAGATAAGGTTTCAGTAGCTGTCCATTTAAATTTCCAGGTCAGTTACTGTATGGGAACTGCTGAGTCACTGCCTGAACCTCTGATCATCTGAGGCGAGCCATGAGTCAGCCAGAGGAGCACAAGTGAAGGTGGAGCCTGGCTCCACCCCTCCTAGACCTATTTAAGAGCTGGCTACCAGTGGGGAAGGATCTCTTCTGGAGATCCCTTCTTCTGGTGCTTTCTGTAGATGAGCCTAGCATACAGGTACACCTTCCATTTATTCTCCTTATTATCCTAGTCTACTTTGCCTAACTCTCTTGTTCTTTTGTGATTATAACATCTTAATATCCATTGATTATGCAGTTACATTGCTAAAAATCCCAATTTCAGTGATTCTGTAGCAGCACTGTATCAACAAAGAAAACAGCAGCTATGTTCATTCTCACCAGAATCTTAAGTAAAACAATTTCAAGAATGCTAAAAAAAATAAAAACAATCCAACAAATTTTGTCAATTAGGTCAGTTAAAAGTAAGTTTGCTGAAAGTTCAGAGAAGTAGTCTTTGCAAGCAGAATTTGCTAAGCAAATCAGAGTTCTCATGTTTCAATGAACCATCAGATTATTCCTTATCAGATCATTCCCTTCCAAATAATAAAAAGCATGTTTTCTGGATGACAGCATCACAACCTCCATGAACATCTAGCAGTCTTAACAAAATTACCTGCTTTCTCTAAGCAGTTTTTAGCCAGTTTGGCTCCATGCTGCCAGCCGGCTTGATCTTTGGTCAAGATTGTATATATGTTTCTTAGCTTTACAACTATCGTGTAGATCATAAGTGCATTTTCCTACATATATTGCAATTCTGACATTTGAAATGAAACATGCCAAAATATCACCAGCTTCTACACATCAGTGAAATTTCTTAACTTACATTCATTAGTGCTCAGGGCTTCTTCCAAACGAACGTAGAAATCAGATTTCTGTGCCAGTACTCCAATATTTACTACCTTTGACTAAAGCATGAAAGAGTAAGTAAATATACATAAAAATATAAACATATTTGCATCTCAGTTATACTCTTTTCCTGACATGATGAAGACCTACAGAAAAGCAGCATTAATATAAATACATTAAAATTGGTGAAGTCTACAGCAAAATTTCAGTTAGGATTAAAAAGCCTTAAGATTTTATTGTACAAACAAAATTACACACTAGATAAGCATTACTATATATATATATATGTTTTTTTTTTTTTACCTGTGTATCATTTTCTTGCTCTGGAGCAGCATATCGGGGAATAAGACCAGGAACCGTGGGGATGAAGAAAGGGGCTGACTTGGGAACCTTTGGTGGTTCTCTTGGTTTATTTTTTTTCTGTTAATAACATATTTAAATAAGTCACGATCGCAGTAGGAACAAGCAAGTGGGAATTTCTGTTGTCAAGAAATTAATTTTTAGAATATCACAAAAACTATTAGAACTGAAAAGTAAATATATAGAAAAATACTTGACTGTTGAATATGAACTGAGTATAAATTATTTAGAACAACTCTCCCTCAAATCCCAGAAACTGTGATTAGAAGTCTTTTGCAATCTTCTACTGGAAAATCCAGACCAATACCTGAAAAGTGAGATCAAGTCCTGTGTACAGATAAATGCAGCTCACAGCTCAAAGACAAACTATCCAGCTGTATGCTAGTATTTTTTATTTATTCCCTCTTTTTCTGTTTATTGGAATGGCTGCCTGCTGTTTGGAGGCACTTGGAACAGATTTATGGACACTCACAAGATGCACTAAAAAAAAATACCTTACTTCAGACAGTTATTTTGCATGTTGCACGAATCATTATGGCAAAAGTTACTGAAAGCTCTTCTCAGAGACTGCTTACAGAAGAAACAGCCTTTATTTTACCTGCTTCTTCAGAAACACATGCTACAGTAGATAAACAACGATGTACCTCATAATATTACCTTGATAACATCAAGACTGAGGAGATTCTTCCATCTTGATTCAGGTAGTAAGGACAGAGTTACCAGCTGTTCCCCCAGTTGCTCTGGTGAGTCATACTCTACCATCTCATCACATTGGTCTTCACCTTCTGCAACATCCACATCTTTAAAGAACAAATATATTTTATGAACATATATAACTTCTTAATTATTATAAATAAAAACACAATTATTTATTTTGCAATTAAAAAAAAAAGTGTTGCAGATATTTGTCTCTTAGCATAATACCTGACAAGCTCCAGTAACAAACTTCTATCAATTCAGTGAAATAATAAATTATAATAATTGTGCCTAAAATGTAGAATTTAATAGACAAGACTGCCAACATATGTTTGCAAAGCAAACAGCTTCACTTTCTGTTTTCTTTTTGCATGCTACACAGCTGAGTCCATGAATGTTCCAGAAAAGCCTAAAATCACAACACCAGAACATTCTAAGTTTTAAGCATCAAGCAGAAGCCTTACATCGGTCGAAGACAAGAAGTGAATTCAAGCATTATGCCAGAATCAATTTATAGGATTAAAACATGAACACGTATGGGAGGAAATCCTATCTCCCTAGTTTAGGCATCTGAAAAGAAAATGTGCCTAATTAAGAGATCAACAGAGCAGGTTACTTGCTCTTTTAAGCAGTCAATAGCTAGGTGTGTCTCTCATCCTGCTGGATATCAAAATATATGCACTGCACCTTACGAGAACAAGAAAATTTATCACACAAGATCTCCATCTAGAGGTCTTCAGATGCACAGTTGTTGGTACTAAATGTAATTATAATGCAATTTAAGCTATTCTTCCACTCAGAATTCAATACAGGACTGCAGAAGGTGAGCAAAAGCCAGTCTTCTTGCCCATATGTGACAACACAGCACTGAAAGTACCATGGCACAAAAGCTGGAGGGGAAAGGAACAAGCAGAGACCTTGTCCCAAATGCTAAACAGAAATATTTATTTCAAGCACCTCTGATAGAGGTCAAAATGTAAGATACTTAAGGCAGTCTGGGCTTAAAGAAAGCAATCAAATAGTCAATCAAAACAAGCATTCTTATTACCCACAAAACCTACTTGAACCAGTGAAGGTAATCAGAATGTAATTCTGTATGTTCAAATGCAGAAAAATAAACAGACATTTCAGTAAACATTAGAGCACAAGGAGTAGGCCAAAGTCTGCTAGAAATGGTAGAATAAATAGAAATTCAGGAATTCAGAAACAGAATAATAAGACACCAAGTTTTCACCAAAGAAATAAAAAGTGTCTTCTATTTGAAATTCAGTATCACATAGAAAATAATCTTTTGTCTGAAGGTCACCTTGCAGAGGGCAGGTGCCAGGGAGTGTTACCACAGAAGGCTCAAAGTCTGCTGGAAGGGGCCGTAAAGAGACGAGTGAATATAAAGAACGGTTGGACCTGAAAAATAAAATAGACATTTTAAAACCAATTTTCATGTGAATGGGAACAATTCACTCAGACAGAGTTCCACTGCAGCCTAATATTACCGCACTCTAACTAAACATCAGGTTTCACTAAAGATAAACAGATGAGCATGAAATGAAATGCAACTGATATGTACTGTTAAAAAGTCTGAAAGAGAAGAGTTATGCTAAAGTATTATTGCCAAAGACTTCATATAGCAATAGGAATTCGTTTTACTTCAATCAGTGCTAATTTCTGCATTTATTTCCAATGGCAAAATTACCTAAAAATCTTGCTTGCACTTAGTAGGTACAAAGTATTATGCAAATATAAATGATTCATCCTACTTTCAAATAATTACAGAGTGGCATTCATAACAAATTTTCTAAAAGTTTGAAACCTGCACATGAGCAATTAGGTAAATGACTTTTTTGCCATTATAAGCCTAAGGTAGATAAGAACTTTCGTAATTACTTCTAACAAACCTCTTCTACTTAATCACAGAAAGGTCTAACAAGGGAACACCCCTCAGGTAATCCCATGAGGAGTACTGCATCCAGGCCTGGGGCCCACAGCAAAAGAAGCACGCAGAGCTGCATGAAAGGGTCCAGAGGAGGGCCACAAAGTTTATCAAAAAAGCTGGTGCAACTCTCCTATGAAAAAGACCACCCTGGAGAAGAGACAGCTACAAGGAGACCTCCAATACTTAAAAGGAGTTTACAAGCAGGAGGGAGACTGACTTTTAACATGGTCTGATAGCAATGGGATAAGGGGGAATGGCTTGAAACTAAAACAAGGGAGATTTAGATTAGATGTGAGGACATCATTTTTTAATCAGAGGGCAGAGAGGCACTGGCACAGGGTGCCCGGAGAAGCTGTGGCCAATCCCTGAAAGTGTTCAAAAGCAGGCTGGATAAGGTCCTGTGAAACCTCATCTAGTGGATGGCAACCCTGCCCATGGCAGGGAGTTGGAACTGGACAGTCTTCAAGGTTCTTTCCAATCCAAGCTATTCTGTGAGCCTTTAATCCACTCATCTGGCAACAGGAAAACAAAAACTAACCATCAAAAAAATAAATAATATGTTACTTCCATTCTACCCTAGCCAATCATTTGCTTTCAACTTGTATCAAATTTAACTAAGATGCATTTTTCACTTGTGCTGACCTAACATTAATAAATAAATAAACATAACTTAATAAATAGTTTAATTAATAATTCCTTATAAATTCCTTTGAGGAATTTCAAACAATTTTGTACACTAATAAAAGCCCCTCAGTTAGTAACACTGTATGAGCAATAATACTCAAAAGATCAAGAAAAAAGTAGACTCAGAGAAATGGTTTACAGAACTGTTTACAGAGAGAAACAGAAAAAAAATCATCCCTTTATCAGAGTAAGTATATTAACGACAAGAGATTTAAAGATTTACAGCTCACAGCAACAGAGAATACCTCAGTCTTTTAGAAGAAAAGATGACAAAGCTCTTGAGATACATACATTTGCCATGACGGTGGTTGAAAGCATCCAGCCCCATTTGAAGTTCTTTACAGAAATAAATATTACGTACCACAAATAAATTCCAAGATCATCCACATGGGCTGAAGCTAGAAAATCTCCTGTAGGAGACATAGTAAGACTCACTGCTGCAGAGTCTAGCAGAAAGCAATCTATGAGGCTAAAAGAGAAAAAAGAGAAGTCGTTAGCAAATTGAACTTTTTGTTCTATACGTATCTAAATTACAGCACGAATAGGATTGAAAGCAAGCAGGACACTGTAAACACAAATGCAAACCAGCATAACAGAAGTATTCAAACACATCATATAAACTCAGTGAATGAGTGGCATTGGACAACAAACCAATTACATTCATAAAATTTTGTTATCAGCTACAGCTGGAACATTTATTCTGCCTCCTAAGAAACTCTGAGGGAAGTTTGATGAACCGTCTGTCCACATTCAGCTCCTTAGGCCCAATGCACTTCCAGCAGCAATAGATTTCATACTTCCATGCAGCCCCGTACTGCTCTGAACTCATATTTTAGTTAGTTCTCTGCCATCAGTTGTTAATACTTCCATTCTATACGGATACATCACATGCACTTGATTAACTTGGAGGTCTAATGTCCCTCAAGTGAAAAATGAACAACTTCCTGCAGTATTTTTTCTCTTGACATTATCATAATTTATCATAATTTATACCATTCCCTGATCACTCCTTTTACTACTGCAGAAAAATGGAAAGAAAAAAAAAAAAATCACGTAAGAAGGAAGTTAAAATATTCAGACGTGTGCAACTATTGCAACAAGTCACTTTTGAGTTCTAACCATTGCTGCAACTACTGGATGACACACATCCTAGTAGGACTTCCATACAAATTCATGTTCACTGCAAGGTTTGTCACTTTTCACAATGTCATTTTCAGTTACTTAAAACTACACAAAGTACTTGAATGTGTTCACTGACAGACACTTGGACCCATGAAAAAGGATGTGAATAGATCAGGTGAACGGCAGCATGGATGATGCCACGCTTAGGGCTTTGGGATCTACGATCTCAGTTGCACCTTTGAGAGACTGGACATGCTGATGTCAGATAGGATGCAATTGACCAGGTGGGACAAGAGTAGCAGACTGGATGGACTCATCAGCAGAACTAGAGTTTATGGGGAAAGGGGATGCACCTCTGACTGATGGAAGAGCCGGAGAACTGTCAATTTAAGAAATAGCATGGAGAAGACTCAAAATTGTTCCAAAGAGGGCTCCCCCAAGAATGTAACACAGCCAATACCCCAGCTAAAGTGCCACTACACCAATGCACACACATGGAAAACAAGTACAAGGAGTTGTTGTGCAATCAGATCACTATGACCTAATTGCTGTCACAGAGACATGGTGAGATCAGCCAAAAAACTGAAATACTTCAGTTGAAGGCTATGAGCTTTTAGAAGAGATAGGCAGCTGAGCTGCCCCCGATATGTGACCAATGGCAAAGGACTGCCTCTGAGAAACAGCCACAAACAGGCTGAAAGCTTGCTGGTAAAAATTAAGGACATCTGGTTGTCAAGGTCTACTTCAGGCCACCAGATTTAAGGGAGCCTGTTGACAAGGTCTTCTGGCCTCAGATACAAGAATCATTATGCTTGCAGGCTCTTATCTGGTGGGGTATTTCAACCACCTGCTAGGAAAGCAACTGGAAGTCTGTAAACAATCCACGAGACTCCTGGAGTCCACTGAGGACAAATTCCTGGTCCAGAGGTCAGACAGACCAACCACAGAAATGTTACTGAAACTGGTGCTCACCAATGCAGATGAGCTCATTAAGATTGGAGGTAGGCTGGGCTGTAGCAATCATGCCCTGGTTGAGTTGAAGATTTTTATTAAGAGCTGTTGCTCCTTTTCAATAAATTCCTCAGCCTACAAAACATTTTCTTATAATTCTGAAAACAAGCAAGCGAACAAAAACAACAACAAAAAACAAAAACAAACAAACAAAAAAAACCAACCAGCAACCAAACAAAAAAACAACAGGGAACATCATGTTGTATCTAGATCTCTGCTTGACCAGAATTTCTGAAGTAAAACTTACATGTTTTTAAAATGAACCTAATTAAGAACAGGCTTCAGTTCAAAAAACAAACTGGATTAATACTTCAGCATAATGGAAGTAATTCACCTTAGCAGTCTCTTTCTATTTTGAATATATAACTGCTTTGGGACAAAGACATTCATACTTTTTTTTTTTTTACACTTACATGAAAACTCTTAATTTCATAATCAGATCTTAGAGACACTGGTTATACTGCATTCCCTGAAAAAGGCACAAAACCTGGTCCTCAAAAGTGATTTCAGTTACTTGAACATTTGTTGGGAAAATAACAGTGGTTACATTCTGGCTATCAGGTTCCTGACATGCAGATGGACTACTTCCTGTTATTACGACTGTGATGACTGTGGACAGCACATTACTGTATTTGCTGCTCACTCATCAAGATAACTGAACAAAACTTTGAATATCAGAAAGTACAGTTTGGTGACAGATAATCAAGCCGGAAGGTTTTTTGCCACTCAGAAGACAGAAAGGAGTTCACACCATTTGTTGCTACAGCTTTTTCAACCAACTCACCATCCAGAGGGAAGGTCCCAAGTCTTAATAGTACAGTCCATTGATGAAGTTATTAGCCAACGACCATCAGGACTGAAAGTCTAAAATAAAATACTCAAATTTTAATGCCACAGCTTTGTTTTAGATGACTTTCATAGATCATGATGAAATGATCTGGCCATAAAATAAAATTGACAACACCTTATTAAAGAGTGAAAAGAACAAAAATAGAAACTATTTCACAATAGGTTTAAATATACTGACCTGTTCCATATGTCTTTACGTATTTTGGACCCCACTTTTAAACAACGTAGCATAAAATTGAAGAAATCAAATACTCACTTCCTAACATGAAGAATTAAATCAGACACTAACAACAGGGTATCTTAGTGAACGTTGCAAACCACAACTACATAAATCATAAAATAAGGAAGCATCAGTGCGTAGCATAACCTCAGATCTGTTTACACCACTTATTTACCTGGTTCATCTTTTCTACACGTATACTTCAAGACTAGCTGAATTCTACACCTCAACTTGACTTTCACTATTTGCTGGTGCTTTTTTTTGTTAAATTCCAAATTAGCTTCTTGTAAAGTTATAATAAAATACCAAGGTACCCTAAAAAGACACATCCATTTGAACGACACATTTTAACATGAAAAAGGTCATCATCAAAACTGCTATACTACAGTTTTACCGTTCACTGCTGAATACAATACTTGGTGACTGAATATTTGCAAAGAAAACTCTGCCTTTAGAATGAATAAGGTATATATATATATATATACATATATATATATATACACAGAACTTACTGCAGAAAATGAGTTAAAAATTACCATGTCATTAATACGTCCGTGGTGTCCTGAGAACTTCCTGACAATCTTCCAGGTTTCTATATCCAAAACACTAATGCTGAAGTCATCAAAGGCAATTCCTAGAATGCCACTACCAAGAATAAATAACATATGTCAGTGAATATTTGGAGATAAATGAAAACAACTTACTAACCTCACTTCAGGATATCTTTATCCTGAATTAATCTAGAGAAAAACAGGATAACACAAACTTCTTCAGTCTAGCAATATGATTTGTACAACCAGCAGCCTGTTGTATTTCAAGCACCAAAAATGCAATCTCCATTACAATATTTGTCACCTAGAATTTATCTACAGCAAACAGTATAAAACAGCTTTATTTTCTTACCTATCTCTGTGAAGCAGAATTCCACTTGGAGAAGAAGAAAGATCAGTAGAGTGAACTAGATCTTTAGCTTTGAATTTCCAAAATTTAATTAATCCATCACTTCCAGCTGTGATTGTCAACTGGTTTAATCCATCCACTGCTACCCCTCTAATAGGCCCCTCATGAGCTAGAAATCAAGAGAAAAGTTTTGTCTCAAAATTAAATACAATTTAGAAATCAGCATAATGCTAACTGTTCTGCATGGCGTTGCCTAGCCTAGCTACACTAAATGAGCTGTAAAACGTGACCAAAAAGTCTAAAGTGACCTGATAAGACCAGTTGAGTTTCATTTTTTTTTTTTTTTTAAATCAGTACAGAAACCAAATACGCAAAATATGCAAAATTAACTGATTTTCAAGTTAACACCCAGGCGGAACATAATTTAATTCAAACCACAAAACAAAAGGTGCATACAGCTGAACCTGAAGATTAACTTTAATTTCTGCTTTCAGCTGGGGAGCTTTTTTTAACGTTAAGTTTGAAGATCTTTTTTCTCTCACTTATGGAGACTACTACTCTTACTCAGAATTTACTGCTTCAGATCTTGCACAAAGTATGTTCTTTTTGTTTTTTTTGTTTTTGTTTTTTTTTCCTCCACAAGGAACTTGATACTACAGTGTAGAGACAATGCATAACTCCTTACCAACCTTCTCTTAATTTCTGTCTAGGGCTTACTTTTTCATCCCGCTACTGTAAGAGATAACTTCAGGTTTCTTAAACTAGACAGCTTTCAAAAAGCCCAGCAAGCTTTGAGGACTCACTGGGATTCCCTCTTTGTTTCTACAAACAAAAACGTCAGACTATAAAGGCACCAATACACATCTCAGATTTACGAAACAGCAGCAAACATACCATGACATGGAATATCTACATAAGCAATGTTAAAAGGAGATGAATACCATCACCCACAAAGCCCTAAGTTTGCAGCTGGATATTTAAATACCAGCACATGCAAAGAACTGGAATTCCTTAGGATTTCTATTTCTTGTGTAAAGTATCTTTTCATTTTTAAGCAGAAAACATTTCATGTTTTGTGAGATGTATCTGGCTACAAGAAGCCAATTCTAGAGATGTGAGTATTTCAAAGATATCTACGACCCAGGGTCTCATGTTAATGCTAAGCATTCTGGTAATTGTATAGACTAAAACCAAACAGACATACATATCAAAACCAGCAGGGATCATGCTCTGAATAAGTGGACTCAAATTACTTCTGATTATAGTACAAAATAGAACAGCATAGGTTACTTACAGAAATAGAACAGATTCTCAAGTTCAACTCAGAAGGTGTGCTTGACTACTTACACAGAACTCAAAGTTGTTGCTACTCCATTAAGACTCAGTTTTAAGAAATTCATACCTCTTTCTCTGCCATAGCGCCCTCTGTGAATGCCAGACTGCATGTTATACACATCCACTTGTCCTGTTGACATCCCAATTACAGCAAAGTTCCCACAGGTGGTAATATCAACAGCCTTTCAAAGGGAATAAAAATGCCTATGAAAATAATTCTTAAACTGCAGAATTAGGAAAACTGTTAGGAATGTTAACAAAATGTATTAGGAATATTAGTATAATTTTTATTAGACTTCAAAGAAAACTGCATGGAATAAACCTCTTGAAAAAGTAGACAGAAGAGATCTTAAAAGAAGCAAATTCGTAACAAGTAATAAATGAGATGGTTCGTGCCTATAAAAGATAATGAAATAATGACTTAGTTACATCTGTTTTTGCAGAAGTCATATGTAATAACATCCAAGCTGCAGCCCAAATGAGCAACTGCGTGCAGCTCAGTAACTACCATAAAGCACACCTGCTGCCACTACTTCAACATCAGCCTTGACAATGGTAGCCCGAAAGAGCATAAATTCATGGAATTTAAGTAGTAAGAAACAGAGAAACAATAAGGTCTAATCTCTATTAAAAGAGATCTGATTAAGAGAAAGTAGGTATTTACAGCTGAACTTCTCCACCACTTAACTCCTAAGTGTAAGGTCACAAAAAGAAAACAAGATAAACAAGTAGTCTGGGTGCAAAGCAAATGAGTTATATGTGCTACAGAAACTACTTGCATTGCAAACTCATAGATCCTTAGCAAACATTTGAGTGTATTTTATCGACTGCTTGACTTTCATTGTGGTCAGGCTCAAGTTCCAAAGCATTTTAAAGAAAATAACCTCTTTGCAACTTGAAAATAAATTTTTCCATATCGTCAGGAAAACACACCACATTTTCAGCAATTTCCCTTCAGTTTAATAATATACAGCACAAGCATATAATTATTGATGTACAGTTGAATCTAAGTCAGTTTGAGAAATTAAAGGTAAACATCAATCACCAATCCGTCTGAATTCAAAGATAAAATGTGCAATTAACCTGTATGTGTGAGGAAAAAAAGATGCATACTTCTCTTAATGTCACAAAACAGTAAGACACCCTAAAGCAGCCATCATAAACAACTCTGAAAAGTAACTAAAACACTCCAGATAAGCGCCTTTTCATTATAAAAACTGCTTCTCTACAAACAATTCAAAATAGCACTGTAATGCTGACAGTATCCTAAATTAACTAATAAACTTACTGTTGCATATATATCAATAGGCTTGTTTTTGCTAAATTCTTCTGGCCTCAGTTTATGAGTTCCCATAGAAGTTTTCTGATAGTTCCAGGTTGTACAGGTTATATACCCTTGATGACAAGCAACAATACCATCCCAGTCATTCTGATGAGCCACCTCTGCAACACAATACACATTCATTTTAGAAACAATCACTCTGAAGCCAAATAACCTTTTTCTGATATAAGACACAGTATTTTGAAATACCCTTACACAAAGCAGTATAAACTTCAGTTTTCTTGCTGGATGACCAAGGGGTTATTTAGGAAAAAAAACAAAAACAAAAAACCACCAAAGCAAAGTTGTTCACTTACCTTTGTAACTGAAAGGCTAACAAAACCACAAACATTTTTTTCATGTGCTACATTTCAAGTCTTTGTGTATTTGAGTCTCTGTGGTTTGAAAAGCATATTTAAGCTTAAATAGTTTAATTCAGCTATTCAAGCTGTACACATTTCCATAGCCACTAGTTTAACCACCTAGAGCAGTTTTTAAGAACTACACCTGTTCTACATAGCAGCTTTTTCTGCATTTGCAGGAAAACCTTTCCTCTAAAGCTTAGTAATAAAACTCTGAATATGATCAGTCATGCAGGGTTCTAATTAATGAGCAACTTTGCACCTTCTTCTGTAATTAATAAATGAAAACATGAAAAAGGTTCACATCTTGAAACTGGTAATTCTACACCTTTAAAAAGTAAAGCAACCAGAAACAAACTGATATACACCAGCACAGCCAATATAGCAAAAAAGGAGCAACTCTATCTAGAACGTACTTCTATCAATGTTTGATGTCTGCAGACATACCTAGGGTAGTCTTTCTTTAAATTAATCAAGCAGAAGACTTAATATTCATTAAAAAAAAAAAAAAGCAAGCATTTTATATATGTAACTGTACAAGTATCACTGAATTCTACCAAATATAAATACTATATTGACAGAAGGGCTACGTGATATAATAAGTCCAAATCTTTCAGCATAGGAAACACTGAACCATAGTTGGAAGACGGAACGGCTGTCTTTAAGACAAAAATACAAAGAGGACAATTTTCATTTAAAGAAAAACCTCTTTGATAAGGCACAGATAACCATGATTTTGCTTCTAAATGATAGACTTGCTCAAGTTCAAATAAACTGAGTAACTGAAATTTGCCTTTGAACAGTGACTCAAATACACAAACTAGGAGATCATAAATCAACTGTTGCAACCAGGGTTTCCTTATCTGACAAAGATCTTCACTTCCCTAAGTGCTTGTTCACCAGCCAAGAGTAACATGGGTGCCATAAGATTTTGGCTCTCATGTTGGAAATTTTCAAGACAATAGCTGGTTAAATTGGAGACATTTAAAATATACTGCTGTTTCAAAATGTAAGAAGAGTTTACGAGATAACATACAATTCTGAATTGTACTCCATAGCTCAAGAAGAGCCATGGTCTCAATGATTTCATCTTGATGCAGCACAAGCTTTCAATACATTTTGTGGCTTGAGGGTTAAAAGATTAAAGATGTGATGAACTGACACATATCTCAGACTACTTACCTGAAGCAAAGGCTGTAATTGGTGGAAGTGCCATTGTATCATGCTGAAGACCCTTCTTTTTTGATTTCTTTTTGTTAATTGAACCTTAAAAAAGTAAGCGAGTGTCTCAGTTTCATGGTCTTAGAATAGAGATTAAAAGTAGTTTATTTACTACATGTAAAGTTCCTATTAAACTTTGAAAAATTTGGCTTTCAACAAGCACTGGTGTTCAGTAGGGTCTGAAGATTCTAACAGAGCGTCTGTCAAATTTCATAAAATACTGAGCTAATCACTCCATTAATATATTCACAGATGCAGTACTCAAATAATTTGTTCCAGGATCTTGTACTGACATCCCAAGGCAGAGGTCCACCATCACAACTAAATGTGTGATGTTAACAGGACTAGACTACATCAAGCAATGCAAACATTCACCTATTCGAACAGCCACACTCAAAAATTCCAAATTCATCCCCAGAGGATATAAATAACAATTAATCATGCCTATTTGGATACACACAATTCCATATACAGATATTTAAAAGAATTATCTTGGTCTCACTCCATGAGAAAAATGAAAATGTGGCCCTTAAACAGCATACAAAGATGCTTTTTTTTTTTTTTAAACAAAACTCTCCACTGAATCAAAGAAAATGAAGACAATAAATCCAAACTAACTGCATTAATTTAGCCTACCAAACAAAACTCAAATAAGAGAAAAGAAGTTAAAATTATGCATGATAAATATCTGCATCTGGATGATTTATTTATTTTTAATACAAAAATCATACCAACATTTCCCACAGTGATATAATTTGCACTTTGAGGTTATATAAATTACTTTTCATCAGCCAAACACTTCTGACAACATACTTTATCAGGAAGGACTGAGTTTGCAGAGAGGTTAAATAAATGGTTTTTATGCAATTGTTAAAGTGAAAACGCATCTGTTTACATAAATACTTTTCAGGTTTTTTCAACAATATTTGTATTTTGATTGAAACACTTACCACGTCCTAAACTTTTATTGAATCTTTCATGCACTGTTGAAAAAGACTGCAATGTTCCATCTTGACCTGACAAAATATTAGCAGAAAACACTGAAGTGCAAAACTCAACCTTCTATTCACTCATAAGCCAGATGAATGAGAAAAGCAGAAGATAAATTCTCAGAAACCCGAAGTAATTTAACAAACATTCTTATCTGAGAAAAAAATATAAGTACTGTAACAAATTAAACACAGTTTTCTATGGTCTATATCCTAATACTTTGTATCACAGGCAGAATTTTTTTAAAAAAATCTTCTCTGTGTTCAACTCCTACAATATCCCCACTTTGTCCCTCACAAAATCAAAATGTTGCATATTTTCTATCATTACTACCATATAAATACTGTTCTGTTCTTCAAATACTTCCAAAGTCTCCCATAACCTTATGCTACTCCCACCACCACCACCAATATTCCTTTCTTTACCCCTTCTTTCTCTACCCAAGATATTCCGCATTTGGTTAAGAACTGCACCTAAGCGAGTCAGTAAATTAATCAAAATAAAAAATGGTAAAGGCACAGCTCTCCATCTCCCAGCAAACAAGCACAACAATGCCTCTAGGCAGTCATCAGTATTCACAGAACTTTGAGTAATTCAATTTAATAAAGGTATGGAAGACAAATATGGATCTGGCAAATAGAACAAAACGCTATGTGGGGCAGATACGGACAAGACAGAATCAGAAACTAACAGAAAATGTAATTGTACAACATGTAAAATAAACTGCACTTTACTTGAAGGTCAGAATAATCAGAAAACACTATTACTAGGAAAGAAAATTATTCACAGTAATTTATACTTAAGGAATCTGAAAGACAATGGAGTAACTGTTAGAACTCAAACACCTTTGCTCGTGTATCATAAATGGTGTAATAAAAAGCCTCCATAAGGCAGAGAAATCCACATTCAGAGACAGGACAGTGCAAAGAAACAAGATTTTTCAGACTGGGAGGCAGGACAGACATAGCAGGAACTCAGAGCCACACCAAGCAGGATGAAGGCACAGACAGCAGTGAAATTTTATGAAGTTTACTCAGAGGGAAGCCCATTCTAGAGAAAAGATTTAAAACAAACAATCCCTGCTCATTCACACTCTGCTCAGAGGAGTTTTCCACTGAGCACCTTCATGACCGTATGCTGGAGTTTTTCCAAATATGTTCATGCCTCCCTTACATGGTAGGGCCAAAAGTGGTATAATCAATGTACTGCTGAGCCATATTAAAATAAAAATGTCATGTTTTCAAAGTTGCTCATGTAGGCAATCTAATTACATCAGCATAATTAAAGATTACATTAAGTTTCTGTTATGCCATTGTGGTAGTGTTCTTGGCCACCAAGCATTCTGAGCTAGTACTTAATTTCTGTAGCAGTCTATTAACTTATTTTTAAATACACTGGTTTCTAAGGAAGGGTAGTCTCTTACGCACTCACAGATCAAAACATTGGTATCAAGTGATCTTGGGAAGACATATTACACATAAAACTTGGGGAGACATACCACACATAAAACTAAGCTGTAACAAATTACTAAGAAATCATAATCCACAAATCCTGCTAAACTAGTGGGAAAAGTAGACTGGCTCCTGCGAATTACTAAGTAAATGATGTTGTCTACTTTTTTCTGTCAACAGAATTGACAAAGTTGTTAAGTGGTTTTCACTTTGACTAGCTGATAGATTCTAAGACAAAAATGAAGGTTTTATTTGTTAAACACATAAACGCAGACAATAAAAACAGCCTCAAAGCTTGCCTGCTTATAACTACTTTTCAGCCCAAACACCACTGCACGCTCCTTAAGGGAAACTGTGAAACAGTCTAATGCAGTAACAATGCTATCTCCACTCACTAATCACTTTCTGTATTTCATAACTTATCTCATGGGTAACACACAGTTCTTTTACGTTAATAAAACAAACCTTGGTAGGCTGTGTGCTTCATCACAACAGGAAATCAGACTGGATAAGAATTAGAATTCATACCTGCACTAAGGATTTGCTCTCCATTTTGCCCATGGTATCTGATTTTTGTTGGTGGTGCACTATGTCCCATTCGGCTTCTCAGTACACGTCCGGTACCACCGGGTCCATCAAAAATCCACACCTGCCTCCCCACAGAAAGCAGAAAAATTAAGATGATAAATACTGCAGTGCCAACAACTACGCTCCCTGGAAGTGAAGAGGGTAAGCTGGAAGCTGAGCAAACTCCACATACTGGCATTCACATCCTACACCAAAACTCTGGAGGACTGCAATGCAGCAGCTGATTGCTGCCCACAGGTCATGTGACAATCTACCAGATCAAAGAAAGCAAGGAACAAAATGACATCTAGCAACTGCAACAGCTAATGAGCCAGAATGCTAATAAAAACTAGAACAGATTAAGATTTAAGTTAGTATTTCAGGATATAAATTGTGGTTTAGGAAGCATGGGTACAAAGTCTTATTCTTCAAGATTGCCATAAAGCAATAAATGACAGATGATAAGGCAACAAAACCTTAGACTAACAAATCAGCTGAGAGCCAACAACTTCAGTCATTTGAGTTTTGCTGTATTTATATCTCTTGAAAGTTACTACTTCAATCTAGGGTACATATCAACACTTTAGAGGACTGCAGGATCAAAAGAAAACAAAAGACATCATCAGACAGCAGCCATTACCACCACTTACCCTTATAGCATTATCAGCGCCATTAGTAATAAGAAGTGGTTCTCCAGGGACAAATGACATACCAGCTACTGCTGTGGAATGTGCATTGCGCATTTGACTCATCAGTTTCTTCTCTTCTAGATCCCACAAAGCTATGTGACCAACTGGGCTACCAGCTGCCATTACTGGGTGTCCATCTGATCAGAAAAAAAATCAAATTTTTGTGTTTGTTTTTTGACTTTCAGGTCATCAGGTCCCTGCTTTCTTCTCACATATTAAAACTGATGCAGAAAAAGGCTACAATCACAAGAATCCAGTAATTCTCATGCTAGCTCTAAAAAGGTGTTTTAACTGAAGTATTTGTAATATTTCAAACAGAAAATAAATGAAGGTCACATGTAATAGAAGCAGGATTTTTTCATATCAGATAGAACCAAACATATTCAAGTTCATTAGGCAAGGCTAGTAGTTTTCTTTGAAAGCACGAAAGGTCTTAAATTCACTTAAGTCATTCTATACCCCAGTTTCTTCTTCAAACCTTCACACTTCAGAATCTGATAGCCACTGTATTACCTTATGTTGACAGCCTTTTTTTTTTAAAAAAAAAAAAAAAAACAAAACCTATTAAGTTTGTTTGCTCAACAGCTTCAAAAATGAATTCCCAAAGTTGATAACATCTTTATTCAAGCATTCGAAGTAAAATTATGATTTCACAATATTTCTAATTTTTGTTATACTTCTTCTTCCTGCCTAATACCAACGAAACTAACTCATAACACTAAGTTCCACAAATATTCAAGTAGTTCATGTCAATGCAAAAAAAAAAAAAAAAAAAAAAAAAAAAAAAAAAAAAAAAAAAACCCCTCTATATCCTGCATAGTTAGTAACCAAACTTTCATCTTCAACAAAAGACAGTTTCTAATCCATAGTCACATCCATGGACAGCTAAAACAGGCCTAGAGTCTTCTTTTTGTGGTTGTGCTTCATTCTCCAAAATGGAAATTTTGCAAGTTCATTTTGATTTAAATGAAGAGTACTTTACTCAAAGACTGAAACGTCACGTGAATTCAAAAGAACCAGGTTATATTTATACACAAATATAGGCTCTGTATCAAAGCTCACATTGTTAAGATTTATGTATTTCTCTGTTCAAATGAGAGACTAGACTCAGTATCATAGGTTCTGTAGGCAGTAAACGATGCTACTGTAACTGGCTTGGGTATTTACAAGACAAAAAAGAGCTGCAAATATATTCAGCAGAAACATCCATTCATTAGTCATTCAAGTACTAACATTTTAATGCACGTTCACAGAGAAGATGCTTCTGAGAATTAAGTTTATACACTCACAGCATACTGATCATTCTGCAGTAACTCCAACAGCTGTGTACTACAATAGCTCTTGGAACATTAAAAAACAGTTTACTTTTTACTGAAAAAAGAGTACCACCTGTCATGCCTCCAGTGCAGTACATAAGAAAGTGTGTACTTATCTTCAGCCTTTGAAACGAACACTCTCATTCCAAACTTTGTTTCTGAAATGCTTGTTCAAAACATTTTCCCAAATTCCATTTAGTTTTAGCGCTGTTTCACACACTTTAAAAAGACCTACCTGTACGAAAAGATATTGCTGTGATGGGGCCCCAGTCTTGTTGGAATTTCATAAGAGTTTCATCAAACTTAATATTATGTATAATGATATGACCAGATACAAGACCGACTGCAATAATATCTACTGCTGGGGCCTGTGGAAACATTGGAAGAAAACTGAAAAAGCTTGCAAGCACCCTGTAAGTATCAGTACCAGAACAAACAGTAAAGGCATCTTCTGCAGGAGAAACCCTATTAAGCATTTAATACGAAGAGAGATGGAGGATTTCACATCTGCTCTTCACTGAATAGAACAGTTACATTTTCAGAAGTTTTGATTCCTTAGAAAAATATTTCAAGTTTCCACTAATTTTGGAAGATCGGTATGTATATATAGTCACAGATATACATTCAGAAGTTTCACACAAGACCAACACAGATCATTTTCAGAGGTGTTAGCAAAGCTTTAAATACTACTAGTAATTTCAAATTCATTTTTATATCTGGAAAAATAAAGCAATTAGAAAATCTTTGCCTGAATCAACAAAATCTACAACTTACTACTATTTGTGATGAGAAAATATTTAAGTAGCAAGAAACTACCAGTGTCATGGAAATAACACAATGCACTGGTGCCTTGTGAACACCTTGTTTGTCTTTTTGTTTGAGAACTCATTATGTAATTCAGTGAATAAAGTCTACAAAAGCGATGAGCCAAAAACATGCAAGATGCTGAACACAACAGAGCTAGGACTAGCCTTCAAATCTACCTCTCTTCAGTATCTAATAGAGGGTTATTTGTACATCTTGAAAATTATTTTCATTGATGCCATTTTAAACTACAGTATCTTGCCTCGTATTGCCTGATATGCTGTAGGGTGTTACTAGCATGTCTTGAAAAGAACAGATATTATTTCCATTTTAAACTACAGCATTTTGCTTCCTATTCTTGAACAGTTACATAAGAAAGTAAGATGAAAAAAATGCTAACTTGTGCGAGAGCTGTGATCCCCAAGCCCCATCCTGGAAACGAGTACAAGAGTTTGCTGGAAAACAAACAAAACCAAAAATAATCAATCAACTAACTTTTCAGGATTTTTCATGTTAAGATGAATGTTTTTCATGCACTTACACAAACAAGTATGTAAGTTTTTTTGCTCTTAAATGCCTCTTAGAAGAAAAAAATAGTAATAATTATGTTTCAGAATAAAACCTCAAGTAATTTCAATTTGAAAAAAAAAAACTGCATTAATATTTCAAAGATTACATAATTAGGTAACAAGAATAAAGAGGAAGACTCATTTGTTGTCAGTTGTTTCCCTCACTATCCTGCTTTAAACACACATCTTCAAAACTCCTATCAACACACAAAGCAAAGTCAGCTTCTAAATAAAAAATAAATCATTTACTTGCAGAGTAACACCTCTGCAAAGTAACTCGTATTTATAGTAAAGGTATACCAACATTGTTGCTGTATTACTATTTACATTATTGAGAGAAAAGACAACCAAGGTAGTCATACAGCACTTAACGTGAGTTAATCAAGGCAATATTTCAGAACAGACAGAAGCGAAAAATTATTCCTCTACCACCAAGTTAGTCATTCTTAAAAGACTGCTAGCAGGCATCTATCCTTCTCTTTCTTTTCTTTCTTGCTGGAGACTACCAAAGCTTCCTCTCAGTTCTACAAGTTTAGCCTTTATCTAATTGTGCCAATATGTATCCACAAAATAATCTCTGGAGGGAACAAACAATGGAAAATAGAAATTGCTTAATACAGCAAAGTTGCCAAAAGGACAGTAAGAGTTATGTAAATTCTTAAATAGCAAAGCAAGAAACCAAGACATTTAATCAAGGTTTTTTAACATCTGTGATATATTGCACCCTACAGGCTGTGACTTGCATTAAAGAGACACAAAAGTAACATGAGTAGAAACATTTACTTCTCTATACTCTCTAGATTATTTCTACTTCCCGATTTTCACAGCACACGCTTCTGAAACATCAGAACGGGAGGGGAAAAAAAAAACTTAACTTTCACAGAAAGTACACAGCAGGTACAGAAATAAAAAATTCAACCATGCAATCTGAATAAACACCTATTTGCAGTACATATATTAATATACAGCAAAAGTTAAGCTCCATGAGTGAGAAAGCAGTTGATCATAGTAAACATGATATACTGTCATCTGGACAGTGTTCAACTGGGACATGTTCAGAGACAACTACATGTCTACACATCTCTTTCTTAAGTCTACTGATCAAATGCTAATCGCCTCCACAGTACATGCCAGCAGCTCCTTGGAGCAGCACCAACCAAATGGAGGCAGGAAGCCTGGACATGCATTTACTATACTTTCAACTATTTTCATGGGAAAGGTATGTGATTCCAAGAAATTAAAAAAAAAAAAAAAATAATAATAATAATAAAAAAGATTCCTGAACAACCCCTGACATTCTGCAGAGACAGTAAATAACACGTAGTCTGAAAGATACCATCATGCAGGGAGAAGCAACATTCTCTGTTCCTGGAGACAGACCAAGTGAAAACTGACACCAAAGAATTCAGTAAAATATTCCATCCTCAAAAGCTACCACTCTTAAAAATATTTGTTGTATCCAAAACTGCTTGGAGCATGAAGTATAACTAAGATACTAAGAATCTTACTTGGATCTTATATTCCACAGCTGCAAGCCACCTTGTTCACTCCCAAGGAGAATTTTATTCAAATAGGTGCTTGGATGCAGAATTGTAGAAACTGCAAAAGTGGCCTTATCAAAAACCACTTGAAGATATTCCTCTGCAAAGAAAAAAAAAAAAGAAACAATGGTATTGTGGCTAACCCCACAAACCTGTAGCTTGGTATCCCCCGGGAAACGTAAAAAGCAGAAGAAAGTTTACATAAATCACATAACTGGTGTTTCTTGCATTAAAGGATTAGCTAATGCATAACAGGACACGCTAGGCTTGTTTACTTCATAGCATCTGCTGGCTTCAACATAAATTTTTTACTTATAAGACTACCTAGCACAACAAGGTTGGCAATACTGTAGTGATTTATATCTTTCCAAAGGATTCAGGCTCCTGCCTGAGCAAAACACCTCTTTTCATTTGCATACCTCCTATTTGTTATAGCAACTTCAAATCACTAAAGGCAGTTTGCAGCCATTCTGATAGTACTTCCTAAAGATAAAAATTTCAGGCCACTGAAGCAGGATTCCATGAGGCACTATTCAATGGCATGAGAAGATGCTGACACAACTGTAAGATTGTTTATGAGAATTAACTCTCATCCAGACTGATAAACATCAAGGAATTATAGGATTTCCGAGATGGTTCCGAGATGTACCCAAAGTCTTTAACCAAAAAGGTACCACTGATGTGTTATTTCTGTAAAGCACATTTCACTTCTATGGAATGTTAAAGACAACCTACAAGTGGTACAGAACCAAGCAATGAAAAATTACTCTACAAATTACTTTTAGTTACAACATCATTTAAGAATTTTTTTCTTTTTTGAATAATCTACTTCCTAACATGCACGTTCCTCTTTTTTAATTACTGAAAGTTTAACAGTGTTATACCGTAGCGTAGTAACAATAATAAAAATTGTCTCTCACCTTCTGACTGTATATCCCAAACAATCAGAACATTAGCAATATCCACAGAGATAATGTGATCACCAAAAGGCTGCAGAAGGTGTATTCTTGCCTTGTGACCTTCATAGGTATGTACTACCTAAAAATTTTTAACAGAGAGGTTTTCAGTATAAAACGTTCAGGTAGCATACAACGTTAGCACAATGCTTAAGGATGGTTAATATACATGAGCATGAGTACAAACTTAAATAAAATAGATGGAAAGGCCACACAACTTTAAGTAGAATATACATATATATAAAATTTTCTTTGATGTTAAAAGCTGTTTGTTTGCAAGGTATTTTAAATAATCTTTAAATGGTTTATTTATTTATTAAAATTCAGTAATTATGAATAGAATTTTAAGAAATAACTATTGCAATTAATACATAAAACATCAGTCAGCCATCATGAAATCTGTTATTACAAATTTCCATTTTATGCTATTTAATTTTCTACATTCGGAGTGATAAAACAGTTTCTTAAAAGCAAAGGTAACAAACAGCTATGGAAATACAAGTTTGCAGAAAACTAACTGTATCACCAATGAATAAGTAAACTCTTAAAAACCTCTTTGTTCCTGGCAATAGCATGGAAAACATCGCCATATGAAGCAAATATCAACATTCGGTCTGCTGCCAAACAAGTAATGTCCTGTAGCAAAGCATTGCCTGCAAATCAAACAGAAAAATTCAACAGGCTTCACCTTCACAACCAAAGATAAAGTCTGACAGTGTGTTTGTTTAGTTTGGTGACATGCTAACAAGACTGCTTTATTATAGGCATTTCTGTAAGAACACATTTATTTCAGACAGCTCTTATGAATATCACATCAAGTAAAATGGTAAGTAACATCACACTGACCAACTCCAATGGTTCTTTCATAAATTACTGAATTATTACTTCAAGGCACGTGTTAGCTTCCTGAAGGCTTACAGATAACAACAACGTAACGCTTTCTACAGACTGTTAAAGCCACACAGCCCAGTGGAAACACTAGACAAAGGTGTCCCTGCCTACAGCATGGAGGCTGGAACTAGATCATCTTAAAGATCCCTTCCAACCCAACTTATTCTATGATTCTATGCTCTGATTCTACTTATGATGATGATGATGAGGGATACAATCAGGTCACAGAAATCAGGTACCCTGCAAAGGTAGAGCCTGCTTAGGCCAAGATGCTCCTGAAAATGGGCCCCAGCCACATAACATCAATGAACAACAACCACCCACCAGAGAGGCGGATCATTTATTTTCTCAATCACTACTCTATTTTTTAACGTCTCCAATTCTGTACTTCAACATCACCTTTCACAAGAAAGTGTATGTGATCGTCTATTAAAAGGTACAGTCTAATAAAAAGGATTTCAGAAAACGTGCAACATTTTTTTACCATTTTGTACACTGAAGGCAGAAGGTATATTTGTTTATAGCATTTTGTCTTCACTGCTGAATTTATAATCTGGTCCCACCTATGTAACAGTTAACTGTCCCATTTATGAGCTCAGCTTTTAATGAAAAATATTTGGTTTTTATGAGATCCATGTAAGAACTTTATGGAAAACTACTTTTCAGGACAGCATTTATGTTCCTGAACCACCTAACTGCTGGCCAAGTGTTTCAGATGCCATCCCACTCAGTTCCTCTCAAAGCCACATTACAACACCAGTTAAATCAAGTTAGCTTTAACCACGCCATCTGAGTCTTGAAAACTTCTGGGAAACTCTATCTACGTTGTATCATAGCTCTCCCTCCGTCACGAATACTGACTTATCACCAGCCTGAACCTGCAGACTGGCTGTTGCCCCTTGTTACAGTGTCAGCCACCACCCACACAAGTTCAGCTTTGTGAGTACCTTTCCAGCAACAGGCCACTTCTTGTGATTCATCTCCTCACCAAACCAAGCAGATCCAGTTACTTCAATGTATCTTCCTATGCCTTACTCCTGAGCTGGATGTCACAGCCTATGTGTGGTCTCACCATCGCAAAGTACAGAGCAACAACAGCTTTTGCAAAACTGCTGGTTGTCTTCCTACCATAGCTCAGCACAGTGTTTATCTTATTTGGATTTCCTGCATTGTTGGCCCACTCTCAGCCTGGCATCAGCACAACCCCAGCAACTTATCAGCAGGGTGCCATGCAGGCAGTCAGCTCCTGGCTTGTTGTTCTAACCCAGCTGCAGCATTCTCTGCTCGTCTTGCAGTGCCCTGTGCCAACACTCCGCAACACCTCACCAGACTGAAGCTGAGGTTGTTGATGAAGGCAATGAATATGTTGACACCTAGTGTATGCTCTGTCACCCACTGCCAGTTCTACGTCAAGCTATGCTTTCATGTCGTTTGTCCCCAGCAGCTCATCCCATTGTTAACACTGTGATGACTTTCAGTGTCATCTGTTATGATCCAGTAATTATTTTCCTTCAAGTAGCCATAAAAACAATGAAGAGTAGAAATAACAGCTTTAATTGATGCTTGCTCCTTTAAAGCCTAGAGGTGGTTTTGGAAAAACAGAGTGAGAAGAGGTTCACAAGGCATAAGAAAAGAGAACTAAATCATAGTTACAACAGCAATCCTGTTTCCAAATTAACACTCAGTATTTCAGAGACTTCCTCACTGAAAATAGTAGCAAATATAAATCATTTTGCCCTTTCAAAATGGGAATTGGTACACCTATTACATTAAAAACAAACAAACAAACAAACAACAACAACAAAAAAAACCACCTAAAAACAAGAATATGTGCATACTTACTCACTGCAACAATACCAAGCTTCTTCACCTGTAACAAGAAAAAGGCATTTTTAGTGATGAATTTGCTACAGAAATTCAAAACTCTAGGATCTAGCCTAGCCGAGATTAGGAATTTGCATGCCTCAAAAGAAAGAATGATAGATTTCCCTTAGTTTACAATAGAGTCTAAGGCAAAACCTGCAGACAGCAGTTCAAAAGGCAAGGGACAATAGTTGCTGAAAGACAGCCATTCAGCAAACTCTAAGTTAAAGTGCATGGTGCTAAGCACACACAGGGTATCTTGCAGCATCTGCACAAACCTGTTTTCACATTATCTCTGCTTCTACTTCATTCCATATTTTGTCAGTCTTAACTCTGTTCACGTGGAATTTGCTTCAGTGAGTATCATCAGCACCCAGAGATGCTGATGGTTCAAGCTCTGTGAAGACGCCTGACAAAAGCAAACACTAAAAAGCTGACAGAAGCACAGGAAAATCTGCACTGCACAGCTTGTGCTATGCCGTAAAATACAATAACTTAATACAGCTCTCTTATTATTTTTATATATATGATTTGTAAGGGAAAAAAAAAAAGTCAGCATCACATGCTTTCACGTTACAAGACGGAACTGCACTCATTTCTTTCGCTATCGGATCGCCTCTCAGATCGCCGCAGCCCCAGCGCTCAGGCGCGGTGCTCCATTCGCGCCGAGCTGCGCCGTGCCGCCAGCAGCGATGGTCCCGGCACGGGGCAGCCCCCGGCCCCGGCCGCCACGAGCGCGGCCTCGCCGCCTGCCACCTCCCGCCACCGCCCCGACTTCAGCGCGGAGGCCGCACGCGACTCACGTTGTAGGTGTGGACGCTGCGCCCGACCGCGGTGGCCACGTAGAACTCACGGTGTCGGCCGTGGTAGCGCAGAACGTGCGGGACGTGGCTGGAGTAGCGGCCGAGCGCGCGAAACCCGGCGAACAACGCTCCCCGGTCCGCCGCCATGTTGCCGCACGCGGCCGCCAGGCCATGCGCAGCCCGGAAGTCGCAATCCACTTCCGGCGGGGCCGTGCGCCGTCCAAGGCTCTCCCCCGCTGCGGCGGTGGCGCGGTACAGCGTGCAGCGCGATATGGTGCGGGGTGGAAATGCTTTAATGGCACACCCGTACAGCGCGGCCGCGGCGCTCCTCAATAAGTTAACGCGATTTGCGGGAGCATTCGGCCCGCGGACAATAAATAATGAGTCCGGTGGAAAAATACATATCACACATCTGCCTGTCCGTCTATTCCAAGTTCATGTAGCTCCTCCACATGGCCATCACCTCCTGCACCTTGCGCTCGTCGCACCGCACCTCGTCACGCCGCCGCCGCTCCTGTACACAACGCCGTCAGCACCCGCCGTCGGCCGCGCCCCGTCCCCCTCCCCTGTCCGCCCGCGGCACCCACCTGAGGCGGCCGATAGCCGCGGCAGCGCCGGCGCACCACGCGCACCGTGCGCAGCCACAGCTCCCCGCAGCCCCGCGCCCCGTCCAGCACGCATTCCAGCAGGCGGCCCTCCTGCTGCGCCCGACGGGCGTCCTGCGGAGCACGGCCGTCAGCCGCGGGGTCGCGTCGGGCACACTCCCGCTGCCGAGGCCCCCTAAAGCCCCGCTCCCCTCCCTGTCTTCTCTGTTTTCTCTCCCCTTCGTTTGCCCATTCTCCACCCCTCCCTCTCTTCGTGTCCTTTCCCCCTGCCTTCCCCTCCCGCTCTCACCCCTCCCTTCTCTTTCTCCTCATGTCCCCTCTTCCCTCCTCTCTCCCGCTCCCCTCCCTGCCTCCCCTGCCACCGTCCTCCCCGCTCTTCTTCCTTTCTTCTTCCCTTCTATCCCTCCTTTTCCCTCTGCCCCCTTCCTTGCCCTTTCTTCCCACCCCTCCGTCTCCTTCTCCCCTCTGTGTCTTGATTTTTATCTTTCGGCTCCTCACGGACTGGGGATGCTAAGTAGCTGTCGGGGACCGCGTTCACCCGGGCGAACCTCGGACAGCTGCGGGCCCGCGGACGCGTCCTCGCAGGTGTGAAAATCGAGCAACGGCCCCTGGAGGGAGACAAGACGGAGGGGGGGTCATCTCCGCGCCCCAGCGGGGCGGCCAGGGAAGTGGGCGATACTCCGCCTGGCGGGAGGCGGTGGCGAGCTGCTCGGTGCGCCCGGAGCTTCCTGCCCTCGGGCTGGGCGCTGTCAGTGCAAGCGAACCACCCGCGGAGCTTCTGGACCACTTATCGCCTTTGCAACAGTGAAACCGTCTTCGGCGTCGGTGCGGTTTTACGCTGTCGTCTTAGGGCTCTGCCGGGGATCGGGAGCGCTCTGGTAGCAGAGCTCCTGCACTCCGTCCCTGCCGGTCCCAGCTTCGGCGCACGCTTTAGGAGGGTCGCCGGAGGAGGAGAGGAGAAGGTAACTTCCCCGTCCTGTGCTCCGGGTTACTACACTAGCTGGCTCCCGGCTTGCTAATCAGCGTTTTCGGAAAGCAGCTGCCAGCATCAAGGACAGAATCGTGGAGGCAGTGCCGTGCCGACAGTTTCCCGCCGATGCCACCAAAGCAACCACCAACCTCGTTGAATGTCATGCGCTCATCGAAAGCGTTTAGGAGATCGTCTCGTATATCCTCGTGGTGACAGAGGCTGAAATTGTAGGCGGCCTCCCGCGGTAGGTCGGCGATCTGAAGAAAGATGATGAAGCCACAATAGACTGTGTAAGAAAAAGCCAGAGGTTAATTCTCGCGCCCGCGACGTGACCCGAGGAGCACGGAGGGCGGTCTGCAGGGAGCGGCGCGGGTGCTCATGAGCGCTAGCGGAGCTGGCTGGTTACCCTTTGCGTTATCCATGGTGCCTTTGCACGTTGTGTTTCTCCTGCTGGGCTTCGGATCGTCGCCGGCTTCATATATGTACCTGTACGCCTACGGAAATGATGGTTTCCAATTCCATAACCGGGGTTTATTTGGACGTCTCATGAGCCTCTCTTCAGAATTGTAAATAACAAGCATTCAGACTCGAAGTGTCACTGACTCTAAAAGAAATCCGGGATAATAAACAGTAATCAACCGCAGCATCCAAGCCCCAAACAAAGCAAAGCAAGGAACTGTGACAGCAGTTGATGCTGTTACAGCCCTCGGGCAGCAGCGCGTGGCTCATCCCGGTGGCTGCAGCGAAAACACGCGACGTGCTTCCGAGAATGGAGATTATGGGAAAGTGGCTACCGGCAGGCAGGGGCAGTATGGGGCTTTCGTGTACAGACAGTCGAACGATCCCGCGGCTCACAGAGCCGTGCAGGGGCCCGGGAGCACGTCCACTGAATCGTCTTCGGATGCTGACGGCTGGAGGACAGAGGGACGGAGCCAGGTGGTGAGGCGGGCAGCCGGGTTAAGCTCCCGGCCCCGCCGAAGCGGTTCATGGGAAGAGCCCTGGGACCCCCGCCGGGGTGGCGGTTGTGGACGCAACCGTAGCTCTGTTTCAGAAGAAAAAAAAAAAAAAAAAAAAAAAAAAGTTCTTTTTCGAGGAATGCCTCTCTGGCTTGTGTCATTAAGGAAACCCAAGAGGACTGCCGTTGCCTTAGGAGGAAACGGGTTTTTTTTTTGGTCTGAGGAGCTGGGGGCGGGCGAAAGCCAATGAGGCAATATCGCGTGCCTGAGTATCCTCTTCTCGTCTTTTGCTTTCATATCACCAGTGGGCTCTCACTCCAGCCGGCTGCTGCCTCCTTCTTGCCCGGGGTTCGGCCGTGTGGATCTGGGAACTGCTCGTTTGGAGTGCGGCATCCCTCATGCCGGGCTGTGTGAATGAAGAGAGATGCTTTCTGATTGCAGTTGTGACATCTGTCTCACTAAGTGAAATGCCATGCACTGAAATCCTGCGGTGTTCAGGGAGGCCTTAGCATCTAGAGGCAAGCCCTACCTGGACACATGCTGCTGAGACCCTTAAATGGTCAATACTTGCCATGTGTGTTGCTATTTCCTGCAAACAACAGTGTTTCTTCTTTTTCCAGATGGCATAGTGTACACCTGGGGATGACTGCATTCAACACTCTCCCAAAGTTGCCAAATAAACCAACAAACCTCCATGTTCTGAAAGGATGCCTTGTTCTCGTATTCTGGGAGATGCTGGATTTTCTTTTTCTAATCACAAGCCCATGTGCCTTCAACTTTCTCTAGGACTTTCTGCCTAAAGCTATCAATAGGCTTCATAAAAGTTAATAAACTGATAAAAACAACACCAACACAGTTCTTCCAAATAGACCTGTGTTTCTTCTTCTTCTTTTTTTTTTTTTTTTAATTTTTATTTTTATACTTGTACAAACAATGGTGCAACCTATTACAAAGGCATTCACTTCAGGTGAATTTTGTGATACTCATGATAATCAGCAGCATCACTGCCCTGCTATGTGGTGAGAGTAATTCTGATCTAAGAAATAAATTTGGAACAAGGAAGATACTATTTGTTACTTCCCATTTTTAATTTATCTTTACCAAACAGGACACAATGGCCCTGTTAATAAAGGTGTTTGTTTACCCTTACTTCATGGGAGGTGAAAGTCCTGTCAATAGCTGAAGTGTACAACTTATTTTGCTTCCCATGCAAACCATATTGTGCTGACATTCTTTTCTACCACTTATGATGTTCTCATGGTTTTATTTCTTCCATGTGTGTCTGCAGTTAGCAGCAGAACAAAGTTGCAGCACAATCTGGAAACGTAATCAGATCAGCAAATGATAAAGGCATTTTTTAGAGGAACCAGAAAAGTATTTGCCTACAAAAGACAATTTGATGTTTAAAACATGCTTCTATCTGCATTCATATGGAAGACTATTAAGAATCAAGGAATGCAATTACTTTAATTGGATGCTTTTCCAATGCATGAAAAGTTCTTTTAATAAATAGTACCTGTCAGCAATTCATCTGGTCTCTCATTTCCTCTTAGTGTTAATCCTGAGTGCCTTCCCTTTGTTGTTGTCACTTCCCTGCCATGCAGCCAAGCAGCTCCCTACTCAGATCAGGTGGGTAGGAGGAGAAATAACAAAAGTAAATGAAGTACTTATGAATCAAGCATCTCAAAACTTTGAACTTTTACTTACTCCAGCCATAATAATACCAAGGCCTCACTTCTGACAGCAGATTTTTACCTGAGATGTTGGCCAAATTTGGGGTAATTGCAAATGGCTTTCATTAAGAGAAATAACCCAAGATGAGGTAGTTTTTGAATGGAGCCTTATAACAGATCTCGTTTCTTCCCAATGCTTGTTGCCTGGCAGTCCTGTTCTGTCTTGAAGACACCACATTTGCAATCATGCTAGAGCAGCAGGTAGAAGGGATTAAGAAATATCTGTTGCTACTTTGCTGCAGGTCCAGATGATATCTTTGTGGGCAGGAGTGCTGCCAGCCCTCAGTGGGAGACGAAGTCTGCAGCTAACATGAAGTCACTGACTTTGGTAGACATTTCTGATCAATATTATTAATATTACTGGCAGTATAATTTATCAGTCTGACTTGTATTTGCTGAGACAGTTTTAGATCATTACATCTTGGTACATGTAGCTGAAAGGCAAATTTCACACTTTTTTTTTTTTTGTTTTTTGCATGCATGAGCAATGTGTTCCTGCCTGAAATGCCTTACTGCTGCAGAAATGCCAGTCATATCCAGAATGTTAACACAGTTATACTTTGGGGGTGTAGGGAATTTCTAAAATTATGAAATTATATATGTGGAAAGGTGAGGTGGAGGGAGGTAGCAATTACCCAAGTGAAGTTTGGGAGATGGGAAGGAAGTGCGTTGGTGCTTGAGAACTTGCAGAGTGTGTGTCACAGCCTGAGAGCCCAGGGTAGGCAGCCCTGGGCAATGCAGTTGCATGCAGCCTGTCTGTGGCCTACCTACTCTTGACAGGAGACACATGAGACTGATCTGACTGGGCACACACTGTTCAGATTGCTATCTTCAGGAATCTGGCTATGGTAGAAGAGTCCCCTTATGGAATCTCTTTGGTTGC